GGGGGGGGGGGGGGGGGGGGGGGGGGGGGGGGGGGGGGGGGGGGGGGGGGGATAGGTTTCCAAGGCAATCTGCTGTTGTACTTCTTATTCTTGGTACACCGACGAAGGACGTGAAATTAGTAACCATAACCCTAAGTGAAGTGCTGTGCCAGGAGAGGCGATTTCAAACTGGGCAAGACTACGTCTCGTTGCCTGTGGAGATGGGCTTTGAAAGGACTCAGGTCTCTCTCCCTTACGTGTGTCGAGGACGAATAATTGCGATTCCCTATGGTGACATGTCCACGTGGTTCTTGTTGTGAGGTTACGACACACAAAACCACGCGTAGTTGCAGCAATCCCTTGAAGGCACATATGTTGTAGGAATACCGTGCACCTTGTGGCACTCAAATATATCACACGCGCTGGCGGTGGTACTCTGTGTACTTTGACGTATGTATTTGTTGTAATTTTTTCATGTCACTTGTGGGCTTATGTTGAGTTACACACGCAATGCCCCCAACACCCACCACCATAAATTTGGCTATTGGTGACCAAACGCCTTGCAACATCGTCCGGCGTCACGTCATTACAACATGACATGATGACATGATGACATGGTGTTGTACGCGCGATGAAATACGGATCAGTGTACGCACACTCCACACGCCCGCGTTGCGCGCGGTTGATCCAAAACATGGTTATTTTAAACTAAGTATACATGATATCTATAATACATTTGAATCGTGCTGACTAAGCCGACGAACGCCACAAACAAAAAATAACTTCGAAAACTACTTGCTGCTACTATAACACTAGTGCTGCTGCTGCTGTATGACAGCATGGTGGTCTTGACCAGTCTATGGTGGATCCAGCAGTTTCGTATTGGCAAGGGTGTACCGGACTGCGAACGGATATATATATTGTATGTGGTCCGCAGCCCAGTGGTTGTTGCGATGAATCCGATTGGGTGATTGTGATTGGATGAATCCATGGATGGATGTGGAGAGCTACGTAGGGGTCACCTTCTAGCGGTGGATACTGCTGTTGGTGGACAAGACCGAAGAAAGCGTTGAAAAACCGCCGATTTGTTGGCTGTACACTGCCGCAAAATAGGAACACGAACATTTCGCGAGGAGAGAGTGCAGGACGATTGAATTGCGCGGGGCGGATGTCTCTGTGCTACATCAGGAACCAGGGGGGCGGGCGTCGCGGGTCCGGTCGCGGGGGGCAGAGCAGCAAGAGCAGACTGCGCCTTCAGAATATCGCACACCGTGAAGCAGCTGTTGTCTATCACTTTCTATGCTCGACATATATATGATTCTTGTATGATTCCGTACGGCTGCAGTACGGCAGTATATGCATGGCGGTGGGTGTAGTTTTGTGCCGTGTGCGGTTGAGAACGAGAATAATCTCTGGTTTGGATCAGAGAGCCACCTTCGCCACTATTCCGACGTGGAGTGTTTCATGTGTGAGCAAAAGAAAAGGGGAGGGTGAAGCACGTCTGCACGATGCGATACCTCCCGCGTTGCAGAGCTAGTAGCCTGTTCGCCGCCATTGTGAACGACGGTAGAGAGAGACAGTATGGTGGCATACGGAGAAGCTAGAGGCAGCCGGTCCAGTGCGCGTGCACGAGCTGCTGGAGTACCACGTCGCATATTCGGGAAAGATGCGCACAATTCGTAAGGTCAATCCAAGTTTATCCGCTGTTGTTGTTGCGTAGTGAGGCTGACACTCCGACCCAAACAGCGTGAGCAAAGACCAGCTCGCAAAGACGGCCAACCTTGGCGCGGTCCCGTTGTGGTGAACGCCAATCTTGATTGCGACCATCACCAGACCAGCACAATTGCTCGCTGGCCAAGACAAACAATAGTACAGCTGCTTGCAACAACAACGGCAGTTTGCCGTCATGTCCTCTCAAACTCGTTGTCACAGCAAATCAAACCGTTCCTATCCGGACAGCAGCTGCCCACCACAGAACCTCCTCTCCCGCTCATAGCCTACCGGACTGCTGCTGCCCCACACCCACCACCTACCTGTGTACTCAAGCCGCCGGCGAGAATGCATCCATTCCGCTGGGTGAATTACTTCCATTCCAACTTTGGACGCCTCCTCCGTAAGCTCTTGGAGCGAGACGTGCTGCTGATTCGGGTCATCTCCAAACTGTGTGTATTCTCCGCCGATGGCTCTACACAAAGCGCACCACGCCAAGCACCCTAGCAGGAGGAGGTCGGTCCCACGCAACATCGTCGTGTGTATGTCCGTGCTGGTGGAGTGTATTCACGAGGGACGCAGGTGAACTTGGTAGGCGTAGGTAGATGAATGGGTCGCCAGGCAGCAGTTGGGCGTCACGATACGTGAGTTTAGATCGGGGGCAAAGAATTTGTCTCTTTGGCATTGGTATTTATAGAGTCATATGCGTTGATCGAGGGGAGAGGGGGGTCATGTGGTACGTACGCAAAAAACGTCCACAAAAAATTGCCGCAAACACAAAACGCACACGTCGTCCCCACCATCATCGTCCCATATCTTCCCGTGACCGGGTGACACACACGCGTCATGAAGTAAGATTTTTGTATTTCCCGAAGTATCCATAGGTGAGGTACAGCAGGCGGAGGAGGAGCAGCCACGAGCGTCTCGTGTCTCGTGTCTCGTTTGCACCGCCCCTGTGTCTTGATTCCTTCATCACTCGTGGTCTGCCGATCCGTTGTGTATGTACGTACAATATGCACGTACACCATGCGTCCAACGGATATACCGTGGGTTCGCTGTAGTCTACACACGAAAGAGACCTTTGATCATTTGCATCTCCTTCCCTGTTCTCCACTCCTGTGTGACCCTGGATGGTCGTAGTTGTACAAAAAAATACACTGAAAAGTGTAGTACTTCGAAGTACTCTACATACGCTGAAAAGTGTAGTACACGTCTCACCACGAAAAATGGGGAGACTGTCCCAGAATAAATAAATAGCACGAAAACACACACACACCCTCGCCCTCACCCTCACACAGTCAGTTACAGCAGTACTTAGTGTGGAGAGCGACAACACCGTCCGTCGTGCATCTGGACTTGCCTACTACGCGATGAACAACCTTGGCCATCCATGCAGCCCCCCCCTCCCCGCGTCTCATGTGCGCGAAAAGAAGAGTTGGGCGTATCATCATGCCCATTGTAACTAATAATAACGCAACACGAGTGATGGAACACTCGAACTCGATCTGCGCAGTGTATAACACAAACCAGGGCAGGCACCTGTCGACTACCATGTGTAACAGCTTAGACCGGGGGATGCCAAGTTTGAAGAGTCGCCGTGCACCCCTTTTCGTCGCCTGCCACGGAATTTTTCAGTGCGTACATATGTGCATATGCTTACACATGGACGCAACAGGAACGCACCTGTCTACAACAGGACCTTTTCTATGCTACAACTAGTACTTTGTTACTCTGTGCACAACAAAAGGATATTATTCGCATGGCCACCTCCTCAAGGAAAATGCTACTTGGTAGACTCACTACCTATCCCCACCCAGAGACATGACAAATACATAGTGTAGCAACATCGCGATACGGAGCGACCGCCAGACAGAACTGCAGGCACTTCCTCCATTCTACGCCCCATCAACGTCCACATGTACATCACTTTCGTCCCACCAGCTCATCAGCACATTAATGGACATGATTGCAACATTCATCATCCCTCCATGCTCCAACGACGAACGGCCGCGGAACAACAACTACAACAACGGCTGCCGCGGTTCACACCCAACCACTTGTCCCTACAGCTGGACAGCAGATTTGCCGCCGCCCGTTACGTAGTCTTGGGTATAACTTTAACCGCCGGGGCCGTATTCACCTTGGCGCTTTAGTATATACAGGGACGAGGCCGTAAACCGTCCATCTCTTCACAGCAAGCAGGTGCTCGGCTGGTCATTGATCCCGGCCTACCATGAAGGGCGCAATACGTTCATCTACCGTCTCGGCCGGACCAAGCACAATGCGGGGACTATTCCAGCCCAAGACAGTCGCGCAGAGCCCCGGGTCTTGCACCAGCCAATGAGGGACATTTCCCAAGACCGATCCTCTCGCTGACAGCCGTTGCACCTCAATCTTTGATAGCTTTGACGGACCCTGAGCCAGGAGATATTCCAGTAGGGCTCGGCCGCCCTGAAAATCATTGCACCATCCGTGTAGATTCGGAAGTGAATGGCAGAGAGGTCTTGTTTGTTTGTTTTTCTCCCATCATTGGACTCTGTCGTCTGCCCATCTGGCCCCTATCCTCCACTTCTACCAGCTAGACGACCCAACCGGGGTCACATGGGAGGGGGGGGTTGGACCCCCTCCTGCGGTGTGTGTGTGTGTGTGTGTGTGTGTGTGTGTGTGTGTGTCAATGAGCACGTATTGGCGATTTTCAACGCAACATCAACAACAGCAGTAGTGACGTAGTGGCTGCTTGTCCGAAATCGGATACATGGTCAACGGCGCCGCACGTCCTTATTCCTATGGCGCTGAGCGTTGTAGGTCGAATTGAACCCGTCGGCCAAAAACGCAACCACGAAGCCATCTGCCCGTCGCTATGGACATCGCTCAACTAGCATGGTACCTCTACCTGTGGCTGCTGGAGAAGTCCGTGCTGGGTGGAGACCACTATGCTCGTGAGCTCGGGGCATTTGTCGAGGATGAACTGTACCGTGGAAGGGTCTACCAGGCACTGGTCCAGGGTTAGAGACGTCAGTCGACCCATAGCCGGCGCGATGGCCTGTGGGTAGCCGGGAGACAAGAGCAAGTCGGGAAAATCTGAATTAGAGACGGGGGTTTTGGGGTCTTGGATGCTCTCTTACGGTTGGCGATGGCGGTCTTCACCTTTCGTTCCCGCATGCCGTCCACACCACAGCGAGAAGACCCGTGGTACATGCGGTTTCGAGGGACGCGTGTCGTTTCATTCCGGAGAAACAATGTAGTCTTATCATTTACAGTAAAAACAAGTTACGTGACGAACGACAAAGGCAACACACACAATCACGCACACGCATGAAGGCGAGGACGAACCAAGAGGTCAGCACAAACAAAGTGGCGAGAGACTGCCAGCAAAACTCTACAATGCCCCGAACTACTGCTGCTACCCTCTGCCGGCGCATTGGGCAAACCTTGAGGCAGTGGTTGTTGACGCGGCCGGTTCTCACGAGGGTAAGCTTGCGTAGCCGGGGGCACGCAGACGGGTCGAGCAAACAACGCAGCCCGGCAGCGCCGATGTTGAACTGATGGATCGATTGTTGCAGCCGTTTTTCATGGTGGTCGAAGCGTAAGTCGGTCGGCAGGCACCTTGTCGTCGTGGTCCGAGTAATGTTTGTCTTCGGCTCCAAACGAATAAGTGCTTGCTTGCAGCATTTACATCGCTCACGTTGACGGAACACAGCAGTTCGAATACTCGTAATCGACTCGTGGATGGGCCGTGATACAAAACGTACATCAACAACAAACAAAGGAAATATTGAAAAACCAAACCGTAACACTCTCCTCGTACCTTGTCCACAAGAGTAAGGGTCTCCAAATACGGGGCCCCCACCGTCGTAAAAGCCTTCATGCCGAGATCGTTTGGGTACATGCTGATGCTGTCTCCCGCCCGGTTGCTCCTGCATCACCAGACGAAAAAAATACATGTATGTTTCCCAGAATCAAAAACGCATTGGGTAACTAGTCTTTCACCTACAGGATGTTCCAGCAAGCGACACTCTGCAAAAGCAGGGAGGCAAGCATGCATTGAGGGGAGACTAGTGCGACATGAAACACACAAACACAAAACAAGCACCTGCTGCCAATGTGGAGGCTTTTCAGTCTGGTGCAGCCTTCGAGAAGCACCTTCAGCCCCCGGTTGGAATCATCCACCTCCAGCGCCAAGTGGCGCACTCCTACAGTACGCGAGAGGAGACCAAAATAGAATTCAAAGAACAACAGCGGGTTTCAACCAATCACCTTCTAACAATAGAGACAGGATGAAAAGGTGTATGGCAACAATATACGCCCCCATAAACAAAGCAGAAACACGGCGAGAGACGATGCTAGAGAGCACCCATGGCATGAGAACAATCAAGAGGATCAACCCATTCCCTTGAGCGAGTTGATTGCCGCTATTAACAAGCAGCGGGTACTTCTAGGACGAGTGCAGGCAGTTTTACGAGAAGTAGGTCTTTCGAACACAGGGTACCGGGCCCCAATTGTGCCGCGTAGGGTGGCCATTCTGCAGAGCAATGTATGGACGTAGAACAAACTGCTGTACCTGGGAGGTGCTGCGCGATAACGGTCTCCACCGAGAATTGCGGCTGCGGCAATCTCTCGTCCTGAAAACAGAGATCAACCATCGACAACAAGCCGTATCACATCAGTAGACCCATGTTGAGGAACTCGGCATGATTGACAGTGAAACAAAGAGCTTGATGGGCACGAGCTAATCAAACAAGGTATCTGACGAAGTAATCAACCTGCCCGCCCCACCATTTTCCGTATGCTTCCGATCTTGTTTACTGCAGGATAGCATTCCCGGGAGAGGGCTTCTCCGAAGATTGGTAATTTTGGTTGAGGCACTGGAAGGGTCCTAATCACTGGCAACCTCAACACACAATCGTACAAATCGCCGTCGCACACCAGCCATGAACCACGCCAATCAATCCCACCCAAGTCGTCAACAGCTCGAGTCATACAGCAATACCCCTTTCAAAACCAACCTCGACGTAGGTCTTCCAGAGGTTGAGGGTGGTGATGTGGCGACAGCTCTCGAACAACGTCACCAGCAGGTCGGGCGTTGATCCCATAGCTCCAAGATTGAGGCCTTGCATGTCCACCGTCTTCAGCAGCGAGAAACGCGGCTGTTTTTTTTGGAACGACAGTGGTATTGAAAGACGGGACCGGGTAATTCGCATCAGAGGGAATCGATGGAGTTGGGACTCGTTATCTGCCTCATGCCACATCAGTGGCATTACCGGGCGACGCAGTATAGCGCTGTGGTCGGCGACAAAAGTTGGCGCTTTGATGGGAGTAAAGAGACAAGAAAAAAAACAACGATACAACGCTTCTCGGCACAGTGTGCGTGCCCCACTCCGCACGTCACACATATTGCCAGTTCCCCCACGCTAATAGAGCACATTATCCTACCTGCTGCACAACGCTGCGTGCTAAAAAAAAGAGGGGCTGCCGGCTCAGAATGGACTGACGACCAGACTTCATGGTGCGCCTGCCGATAATATGCGCTCGCAAGTCCAGGGTCTCCCAAGCGTCTGGCGAGTCCAAAAGGCGGCGCATCTGATTGCAAGTCCGCTGGAGCGCGCACTTGGAAGTGGAGCACAGGTACGGCCTACAATTACGCAGGGGGGTGGGAAGGAAGTATTGTATCGCTGCTTACCCTAGTCCTTTGGTTGTTCACTGACGAAGCATCTCAGTGGCAGTCGGAGCAAAGCTTCCAACTCTTGAAAGTTTATTTCACGTTCTGTTTCGACGTTGGCGTGCATAATCTGGTCGCAGTCTCTTGCACGGAGTGATGCTCTAGCCGACGACGTATTGCTTGAGCGGCCCCCGGCGTTGTGGATTCGGGCAACACGGGGACAAACCGGAAGGGCCATGCATCCCTTCAATGCCCTCTACCAACTCTTCCAGAGGTTTTCAAGCGCCTGTCACCTCCCGACGACGTTTCGTGTTGTATTTTTTAGGTACAGCAGTAGTTAGAACCTCGCTCACCGAATGATTCCGTGGAGCACCACGTCGGCAGACAGTTCTGCCATCCAGTCGGTCCCTCGCCGCCGCCCCCCTCTCACTACCCTTGAACGTGTCGCTGAGGAAACCGATGTTGAACCCCGTGTTTTTGTACACCTGGTAGAAGCACAAGGGCGGCCATGTGACGCGTCACATCGTCGTAACTACGCCGGGGAGTTTTTTTTTAGGCCAATTTTTTTAAGTCTACGGTAGCACTACCGTGTACAGGCGCGAGCATATGTTTCAGGTCTGCCCACAGGCGTGCTGGATTGAAAACCTCCAAAAAAGCGAACAATAAAACTGCTGCAAGGAATAGATCCTCTTCGTAGCAGTCAGGCGAACCCCTAGCTCTCTCCGAAACCCCACAAGTATCTGGCCGTACTTGGCGGCAAATGCAGTGGCTCCAACGGTCGGTGGTCCGGAGCCTCCAGACTGCTGTGTGTAGCTTTCATCCTCAGAGTCATCGTAGTCGCAGTCCTCCACATTCCAGGCAACGGGAATCCCGAAAATTCCCGGAACTTTCCTCGTGCTCTTCCTTTTCTTGCACCTCTCACCCGCCTCCGGTGTTCCATCGTCGTTCTCGCTTCGCGATGACTTGGAGGCGGCGGAGCTGCCGACGACACCAGCAGCAGCGCCTCCTCCGCTCTGGCACCGGCCTTGCCCTTCCTTCGTCGTCACCGCTCCCGAACTGCTGTTCTGACTGCTCTCGGCGGAGGACCTCGAGCTTGATCGGGCCGCGTTCCGCGGAAGACGCGCTGCGGAGAACCGCGCCGCGCGGCCACTCCTACCGTTGGCAGCACTGCTGTTGTTGGCGCTAGCGCCACCTTGAGGACCCCGCGTTCGGGTTCGTGTTTCATTTCTTCTCCTTCTCGAGGCTCCGACGGTTTCATCCTCTGCGAGTATTTATTATTATTATTATTATTATTATTATTATTATTATTATTATTATTATTATTATTATTATTTGTTGTTGTTATTGTTGTTGGCGACTAGGCGTGTTGTTTTTTGTTTTTGTTTTTGTTTCTCNGGGTCACATAGGAGGGGGGGGTTGGACCCCCTCCTGCGGTTCATGCCTGAGGTATTTTTATCGCGAGAAGGGTACAGCAATCCCTTCCCTCGCGACTTACGAAGTCGATTATGGTTTACTAACAAACGAGCTTTGCAGCGCGTCGCTTTCATCCTAGACCAGGATTTACTTAGTGAGAAAAAAACTCTCCCTGCCGGGACTCGAACCCATGACCTGGCCCTTAGCAGGCTGCGAGGCTACCCACTAGACCACCGGGGCGACCGGTGTCGTGTGTATAGTGGCGGGTGCGGTAACTTCTCGTCAACGTGGTCGGTTTGAAGGAACGTTCGCGGAACCCGAGAACCGTTGGCGACATCAGGGTCCTCGAGCTATCGGAGGGACTTTGGTTGTTGTATTGTATCGTGTATGCATACAACAGCTCGTGGAAACAGAGGACCGTTCTTGGAGATGTTCTTGGCACTGCTGTTCTTCATGCTGCTCTTGATTCGTGTTCTTCAGAACGTTCCGCAGAAGACAACACTTCCATGAGAACTTACTCGGTAAACCAACACTTTCGGAAAAGTCTCAGAACCCGCGGCCCCATGCAACCCTCCGTAGAACGATCTAAAGAACGTCCTTCACTATGCCATATATCTTGAACGTCAGTTCTCCACGGCAGTGCCAAGGCTAGTCATGCATAAGTCAGCCGTGGGCGGGAAAAGTGACGGCCACACGTAGTTAGTTATTGCTACACCCCATGCAGCATAGGCTGCCGATCAACGCTACTAGTCTACACATGCACCCGACATGTCGAAGCCGCACTCACGGAAGACGATCAACTGCTGAATCGTAGACCATTCGGTGTACTCCATATGAGAGGTGCGACAAGACACAGAAGCGCGTGCTTCACACTTTACCTATAATACATACCTCGTGCATCTCCCAAGCATCGCCACTCCTCCTCGTCATCGCCCGAGCGTGGCATCGTCAGGATTGCGGAGAGGATCTGTGGCATGCAGATTGTTTCGTGCTGGGAGTGGTATCGTAGAATACACGGCGGAGTCGCGGACGACGTACCCAAAGTGAAGAGATCATCAGACCATCACATGTGGAACAGACGCGCTGTGAGGACTCGTTACGCTGTATTGCTGGAACAGCGGCAAGTGAGCGATGTCCTGTCTGTGTTGGTCATCAAGGTCTCCCACCGACACCTTTCGTGCTGAAAGAGAAATACAACCGTTTGAATCAATCGAGACCCCGACCTACAGGCGTAAGAAAACAAGCCCACATGCGAGCTTACGAGGTGGCACACGCACCAGACGGCCGGGAGGACGGGGTGGAAAGGGAGGAGGAAGGTGTTTGAAAGGAATAGTGCTGTCGGTGCAGCGTACCTCCATCGCAGTCTACTTCTCAAATGATAATTTATGTGGACTCGGCAAAACTCGGGTAGATACCATGTCCTGGTTTCTGCCTTCTGCGTCAATTTCATTGCTCCTTGGCAATACTGTACAGGGGCAGACGTCGCTCTGTCTCCCGCGTAGGCGCAGGTAAGTAGCCCGACACCGCGGAGAGGAAGCGTACAAAGCAAAGCACCCCCAGCGGCAACAGGTAGGACACACTTGCAGGTGCAGCACATATTTCCCGCACACTCTAAAACGAAAATGAACATTGAGATCGCCACGTGAGTTGCTTTGGCGCGCACACCTGATCCACAAGCTGTCTTTGCGGGTTCTAATCGCCAGCGATAACGAAATGCCGGCTGAAGGTGTGCAGCGCTCGCGTGGCAATGACTACTGTGGGGTGTTGTGGTGCACCTGGCTTTGTTGACGGTGGGGGCCCCGCGAAATCAAAAGGGTAGTTTGTAGCTACAGGGATATTACGGCGGCGTTGGGTTCGCCGTCCCCCCTTTGCTCTTCTGCGCGGCTCTCTGGCAGGTTGCAGCTGGCAGGTTTCTCGACGGAGAGAGCCTCATCCCAACCTTGCACCAAGTCCTCTCAAGTATCGTAGACGTCCGTAGGTGTATTTGCGCCTCGCATCGGTACAGAAAGACGCAGTAGGGTCGTGATTGCGGCGTTTAACCTCCGGGACAAGGAGGAGACGTGCAGGCAAGCGCAGGATCGCCAATCCACAGCAGCAGTAGCACGGCACAACAGCAGCGACATCCCTGTAGCAGCCATGGATAGACGTAGCAACGGAGGCGGTGGGGATTATGGCTCTGGTGATGGCGGAGGAGGAAGGGCGGGCGGTAATCGCTGTGATCGGTGAGCAGGGGCCTGCAGCCCCTCAGATAGATGTGCATGGCATATTGCCAGTCCAGCGCACGGATCGTGTGCGTTTGAGAGTTTGAAGGGCGCGAAGGTTGCTGCAGAACGTCGTTGTCCGATAGCTTTTGATGAAAACGTCCACCAGCTGAAACATTTCCGTCGTGTGGTCTTCACTCTCTGGTTGGCGATAGATCCATGTTTACCCGGTGCCCCTCAAGGGCTGTATTCTGTGACTGGGCTTGTAAATTGTACTTCTTGATAAGGAGCTACGGCAGACGAACACGTAGAGTGCTCGGCATGGCCTTCCAAGACCTGTCTGGCCCAACGGACAATCATCATCCGGCGAGCAGCGGCCTGCTTTGTGGTTGAAGACCTCTTTGTGAAGTTGGTGACCGTATTCGACGTATGCTAGATACCAAGGATTTGCTCGGTTTCCCCCAAGCGATGTGACTCAAGTTGTTCTCGCCCGTCTCGCCTTCTCATGCATCGCTTACAGCCAGCACGACCAGCAGAGCGACGCCGGCGGAGGTGGAGGTCGATGGCAGAACGACATGTACGACAACACTTCCCAACAGGTACATGCATTGGCAAGTAGTCACAGCATATTTAGTTTGTAGCCCCTACTACACACCTCCCGACAGAAGAAGGGGGGCTCCGTCGTCTAGATGCCGTCCTTGTTTTTTCCTTTCATCGAGACTTTCCTTTCAAGACTGTCGCTTACTCAGTTGTCAACCAGTTGTTGTGGTTAAGTACCAGAGACACACGCAAGCACGCATGCACACACCAAATTTTATAGCTCTTAAGCGTAGCTCGTTTCTCGACGCCGATGCCCGGACTATGGAAACGCCCGACAGCCGCGCCGGGGGAGCCACGGTGGAGGTGGAGGTGGAGGTGGCTATCGGGAAAGAGGCGGTTACCAGCACGACCAGCGCGACCACAGGGGCGACGGGGGGAGGGGGCGGAGCTACGGTGGTGGAGGGGGTGATCGCTATGGCGGCGGCGGTGGGAGGCGGTGAGATACGCTCGGTGATGATGCACTTTAAGATGCGCACTTGATGCTGTGGTCTGGTCGAGAAGAGTCCTACTACTACTGCTGTGGGGTGCGTACAGGGGGCTGTATTGGGACACATATAGTGCAGCAGTGCGTGTGATATTTGTTGTTCGATTGATCCCGCGTTTCTTGTCCTTAGTTCGTCCTCGTCCAGCACTACGGCAATACTTCATTCAACTTGTTCCACCCATGTCAAACGTGTTGAATCAGCTTGAGTAAACAACGGGTTTTCGTTATTTGTCCGCTTTGACCCAAGCTTGCCCTCTACGCTTAAGCCAGCAAATCACCCATCCCCCATCCCCATGTGAGGCGAGCACGTCCCATCCCTTGTGTGTACTCCGTCCCCCCTCCTCCTCTTGAACGGATCGTTGGCTCGGGTAACAAAGCCGTTGATGGCATTGCAATCCCCACTTCCCTCGTCGTCGTCCGTACTCGGTGCCTCGATTTCTCGCCTCACCACGGTTATTCTACCATACCGGACCGTGCTACAGGGACAACGCCCGTGGTGGTGGTGGTTACAGGGACTACCAGAACGACAACTCCTTCGCCGGTCAGTCGGTGCAACAACAAAACTGGCCTACCCCAGGCGCAGCCGCCGGGGATGCTAGGGAGGGGGGAGAGGGGGGCGGGGGTGTTGGCGGAGGCGGTGAGCGCTGGCAGAAGCACGCGCAGGCGCTAAGTGGGAGGAGCGGCGGCGGCGGTGGTGGTGGCTACAACGCGCAGCAGCGTCACGGCCAACAAAACCAGAGGTGAGAGTTAATCCACAAGTATCGGACATGATGTTTCGAAGAAGCACAGAGAAGAAAGATGTGGTGAGCATCGTGTTCTCGCGTGCGGTATGAATCCCCAGGATGAATCCATTCTTCAGCCGCTCAAAAGCGCGGTTGTTGACTCCCCCCAAGCTTGCACTAAATACGTCGTTTGCACAAACGTCACCGCTCACTGATGCGTCGTCTGAAACGCCCGCCCATTCGTCTCGCTCGCAGGCCCGAAGCCGGCGGTGAGAGAGAGCAGGGGCGAGTGTGTTCCATTAAGGAGTCGTTCGGCTTCGTTCGCTGCATGGACAGGCCCGGCGATCTGTTCTTTCACCTCACCGAGGCCCCTCCCAACATTAACGTCGGAGATGAGGTCGACTTCTTCATCGGAATGGGTAACAGGTAAGCAACTTATAGTCCTCTATTTGTTGTCGTGAATAGCTTGTTACAACATCTTCGTAGGATGGAGTAGTGGTGCAGGTGTCGATGGCTGTTGGTCGTGGTTTTTGCGACTCCGAATGATCTTCACATAGGGCTTCGTGCGGTGCTCTTTGTCTCGTTGAGATCGCACACGCTACTGACCACTGCTCACCACGCCACGCCCAGGCTGTGCTCCTACCGTTCTTCTGTCGACGCTAGCTTGCCATATGTCTTGGGTAGGACTTGCAGGTGCTGATGGCTCTTGTTGGTGGTAGTAGTTTTGCGACTACGCTGGGTCTTTGACTCGTCGAAACCGCACGCGCTACTGTCCTTCACCACGCCACTATACCCCGAGTGTGCTCCTACCGTTATTCTGTCTACCCGCCAGTGTTTCGTCATTTTCTACCTTGCTCGGTGTGCCAACCGTTTCCTTTCTTTTCGCAGGAGCGGGAAGGACTGCGCCCTGAAGCTCAACCTTCTTCCTCCGGGAACCGTGTCATCAGAAATAATCCTTGACGGTGAGAGGTCACGCTTGTGCTTTCGTTGATGTCTTCGGCATAACAGCAGCACGATGGGAATGACGTGTTGATTGAGGGAGTAGTGTCGGGAGGATGTTTCAAAAACGCGGAGCACTCGGAGTGTTGTGGGATGTTTCAAAACACAGAGCACTCAAGGTGCAGCTGTCGCAAGATGCAAGTACTTCAACAGCTCCAATGTGCTTGGAATTGTCCTCGCAACGGACGGGTCACCATCACTCTATTGTCGTCATATTCAATAGGTAGTCGATTTCATCTGAAGGTAGGGTGACACGACGGTGAGTGTTTGATTGCTCTTCCCTCGGTCTTGGGTTTTAGCGGATGCGTCACGATGGTGTACCTGTACGCGGGGGTGTTTTGAAATCCTCCCCTCCCCCGCCCCCCTATGCAACGAGAACAAGGAGGAACCAGTATAACATAGATCGCCCCGGTGGTCTATTGGGTAACCTCGCTGCCTGCTAAGGGCTAGGTCATGGGTTCGAGTCCCGGCAGAGTGAATTTTTTTCTCACTGAATAAATCCTGGTCTAGGATGAAAGCGACGCGCTGCAAAGCTCGTTGTTATTATAGTAAACCACAATCGACTTCGTAAGTCGCCAAGGAAGGGATTGCTGTACCCTTCTCGCGGTAAAAATACCTCCGGCAGGAACCGCAGGAAGGGGTCCAGCCCCCCCCTCCTATGTGACCCCAGTTGGGTCGTCTAGCTGGTAAAAGTGGAGGATACGGGCCAGAGGGACAGACGACAGAGTCCAATGATGGGAGAAAATAAAATAAAAATGGAAGTGGGGGATCGAGGAGATTGCAGTAGTGGACCAGTACACATACCTCGGAGTAGAGATCGCAAAAGACTGCTCGTGGAATGCACACATGTCCAAGGTAGCGGAAAAGGGCAAAGCACGAGCAGGGAAGCTGCACCCAATACTCGCAAACCGGCACCTCGATACACGCATCAAATTGACGGTTTTGAAGAGCGTAATCGTACCGCCGCTAGAGTACGCCGGAGAAGTATGGGAAGGAAATAAGAAGGTAGTGAAAGAAATCGAGGCGGCGCAGATGTGAGCAGCGAAAATGATCCTAGGATGCTCCAAGCGCACAAGTAATGCAGCTGTGAGGGCAGAATTGGGGATCCAATCCCTACGGTCGGGAAGAGACGCGAGGAAGCTGACCTGGCAGTATCGCATGTGCGGGATGGGAGAGGAGAGGTTGCCGAGAATTGTATGGGAGGCGAAGTGGGCAAACAAAAAGAGGGGCAGACAACCCACGGAATGGGTCAAGGTTGTAGAGGACGTAGTATGGAAGGGGCTCGACATCGACGAAGATGATACGCTGGAGACGAAGGGTTCAAAGGTGTTCTAGGAGAAGATATCTATTGCTTGTGCCGACAGAGAAGAACATAATCTAAGGAAAGAATTTAAGGATAAGGAGGGTCTAGAAATGTACGGAATGTTGAAGGAAGGAATAGGGTTCAAGGACTACCTACATGGACCAATGGATGCAGGAACAAAGCTTAAGGTCAAATTCAGGACCGGGGACATAGGCCTTCGAGAACGTCGACGAAGACATAGGACGGTAGACGAGGAAGACGACGAGTTCAAATGTGATTGCGGCTTCGAATGCGAAGACCGTGTTCATGTAGTCGCGGAATGTCCGTTGTACAAGAAGGAGAGGGAAGTGTACGTGACTGAGCTGGGAAAAATAGATGGAACGTACAGGGAGATGTTTGAGGCATGGAATAGAGAGGAATGGACGGTAGCTGTACTGGGGCGTAGGAGATGGGTTGAAAAGGCGGGAAGGGATAT